CACAGATGCGGACATTAACGGATGCAAACAGATGATCATCCGTTTACATCCACTTGTCCATAGAAATACATGGGTGTCTGGTTTTCATCCGTAAATGAACATACGGAACGCCTGTGTGAAAGTACTCCAAGTATGTATTTGGAAGATCCTTAGGGTCTCTCTCTCAAGTAGAGATGAGCTTGCGCATCCTCCTAATCATCTCTATCTGAACTTTGAACTCCCGATTTTTTTACTCCAATGAGCTACTGGCAGGGCAATTCCTGTCCCCCAGCTCACAAAAAGAAAATGACTGCTGCGGGTGGGAATGACACAGCCAAAAGCTCATTGGTGTAGAAACAGAGAGCGAATTCAGGGTTCAGGTAGAGCGGAGTTCAGAGGATGCCCAAGCTCATACCCAAGGAAGATGCCCAAGCTCATATATGTGTATATGTAATTAAAGGTACAAATAGTAGTTTGGGCACCCTGAATATAGTGATTTACAAAGATGTTTGATGCCCAAGCTCACGTCTACTGTCCAGCAGCTTTCTATTGTAATGGCCATTTTTGGCCTATAATAATTTTTAACATTATTGTGAACTTCTGATAGGGGTTTATGTCTCAGTTCCTGCTATTTATTTTTAATCACCTCAACACCCCCCCCCCCCTTTTGAAGCTTTCCTGTAGGGGTTTATAGCAGTATGGCCACCTGGCTGAATAAGCCCTGAAGTCGTCATTTCTAACACCTCCTAGGGAGTATTGTCATAGATCTTCCTGTGGGAACTGGCTTCAAAGGAGGTATGCTTTCCTGGACATTGGCCTATTATAAATTCCATCTGATGAGCTACAGTTGGCCAATATCTTTCACAAGTCACAGCGCCCCCCTTTGAACAGAAATGGTAAAATACTGGAACTTATTGAAGGGTGTGCTTTTACCTGGAATGGAGGGGGAGGGGGTATAAAAGTAAGCTATTACTCAATTTCTGCCCCTTGCCTCTTTGGAAGTCCAGTCATCAGGATGTCTGCGTAACGTATTATTCTATTTTTCTTTGCTGTAACGTTCTTTCTTGTAGTCATCTCTTTTGTATTGGTAACATTCTGTATTTGCATTGTAATATTACTACTTTTAAAGTTATACCAGCTACATTATATTTTCTTATATTTGATTAATAGCAAGCTTCTTTTCTGGGTAAATAAATTAGATCTTTATTTTTTGCACAGTTGTTATCATTTGGTATTAACTTTATTGGTATTAGCCACATCAGGATTGGCTAAATTCATGTATAGACAAAAGGTTGTAATCACTTATTACATTTATAATCTTAGATGGAACCAAGGGAATAAGTGTGGTAGCAAAACCGCCAAAACACTATGAAGATCTCCTCCCCTGATGCTCAGCAGCACTCTTAACCTCCCTGGCGGTATGATTCTTTCCGATTTTTTGTGCTGAAAGCGGTACCATTTTTTTGCATGGAAATATGTAGTTTTTTATTGTAGGCTGTAATTTTTAGGAATAACTCACTGAAATCTGTCCGAACAAGAGTCTAGTAAACATTCCAGATATGATAAAATTTGAAACACAAAATCATAAATTATAATTTAATAAATAATCATAAAAAATAATAATATAATAATAATAAATTTAATTCAATAATATAATCAAACCAAAAACACTGAAATTTGAAATACAGAGGCAAATTCGCACATCGCTGAGCAAAGTCGCAAAATCGTTTTCAGTGTCTGATGACGAATTTCTCCACGAATCATTATCACTCAATTCTGCAAGTGGTTCTGATTTACTATCACTGTTCTAAAACCGCTTTTGACGTAAAGGGACGCTTTTTGGACGCCATGGACTTTTCTAAGTTTCCAGGCAGAAAGAACAGTCAAAATGCAGGCAGGGCACAGGACAAAGCAGTAGGGACAAAATATATGTGAAATGCATTGAAACAGCAATGACAGCAAAAATGACATTTTTTAAAAATTTCAAATTTCCTGCCGGTTCCGGCGCCCGTACGTCCCGACGTCACAGGGACCGGAACACAGAAGCCGGATGCTGGCATCGGCCGGAGGAGATGGCTGGGGACGCTGCAGGGGACACATCGCGGGAGTGCAGGAAAAGGTAAGTTCTGCAGGGACTCCCTGAGCAACGCTGCATTGTAAGCCAGAGTGTAGCTCGGGGTTACTGCTCTTGGTACTCAAATTGTACCCCGAGCTACACTCGGGAAAACCGCTAAGGAGGTTAAAGTTAGGGGTTTAAAGTCCCACTGACCACCAATGATTGTGAGATTGTTTTTTAAAGGTAAAGAAATGAAAGGTAAGCAAATTCAAATGTGCAGTATTTTTCTTGTATATAGAAAAAATACAAAGGTGGTTATTCATTTCCAACAAAAGAAAGCTCTATCTGTCCAAAACAAATATATAAAACATATCTGGATACAGCAGTGCATGACTGAGTAATTGTCAGCCAAACTATCACAGCACTGAAAGCTGGTGTAATAACAGGGTATAACAGACTGGTAATAAATTGGTTACGCTCCATCACACTCATTGGAGGGTGGCCATAATTTTGGCCATGGTTGAAGCCAAACTTAAACAAACACACTGACACTTCTTGCACGGTACAGTGAGCTCGCTGTCTACCAACGTGTTCTACTGTGTCAGTTTTTAAGGAAAACAGTTTTATTACTTGTCCTTCCTAAAGTGATATTACCGTCAGTCCTATCCAGTTCATTAATCAGCTCTTCCCCAGGGATCAATGTGCACAAATCTATGAGCTCAAATCTATAAACTCCATGTAGACATAGTACATGACTATAGAGTGTTAGAGGGAGAAGGATTCTGAGTCGTGTTTCATAACTTCATTCCTAAATCCAAGGCAAAAGGGAGGACATTTATAAATGGGATTCTTCAAGGCAGAATATGTTCATTTTAATCCAATAAAAATATAGGCTTTCAGCTATTTCTCCTTTTGTTTGATTATTTACTCCAGATTTATAGGCTCCAAATAGCTGAGCAGACTTTTATAGTGATAAAATGGAAAAGGAACAAGACGTAAACACGAGAAGTGTTATATTTACAGGCCGACTGGGAAAGAATATACTTAATGTGTGGAGATTTTCACTCTCTGACCACCAAATGACTAATAAGATGACATATTAGTCTTGGCCAGTTATGAAATGGTTATCCTTTTAATTGCGATGAGCCCTTTACAAAGGTGTACGTTTCAGCAAGTTATGATTTAACTCAGTGGGAGGACCTGCAAAGAATTTAACTGTTATCTGTATGGCAATAGCATGTGAAGGTCAAAAATATATGGATTACAGATTGGTCCTTCGACTCCTTAAAGCGAAACTAAACTGTATCTGAGTACCACAAACTGAAAACACTATTAAATTAATTTTTAGTATTCAAAGCAATTGTACCCATCCATCCATGTCTCCATATTTTATTTTAAGAAATTACTACTATTTAACTACCCCCCCCACACACACACATATATTTCTAGTCAAGCCATCTTGAGTAAGGGCAGATGATTCATGTAGCATTCACTTCCTGGAATCATTTTTAGTATTCAAAGCAATTGTACCCATCCATCCATGTCTCCATATTTTATTTTGTTAAAAATTACTACTATTTAACTACCCCCCCCCCCACACACACACACACACTCCCAGCATATCAGAGACTCAACCTTTCAGCCAGCTAACACCTGGAACGGATATATACGGTGTATTTAAGGGGTGGCCGCAGACCTTGCAGACTCTGCCTTGGTGTTGTGGTTATATTTAGTATTCTGTCCTGCATCCTGTTTCTGTTCCTTTGCTGACTTCTCCTGCTCTGATCTCCTGGCTTGTGACCCTGGACCATCCCTCGTTGCCTGACCCACTGTAATACGCTGCTTGCATACCGGTTCTGATGGCCCATGGCTTGTGACCCAGGACCATCCCTCTGCCTGACCCTCTGTACTACGCTGATTATATATGAACCTGGCCTGTGACCCCAACCATTTCTCCGCTTGCCTCCCCCTGTACTAACCTGCCCAATTGATATTGATATGACGTCGCTTGCTTGTATATACTGTTATATTATACTGCGTTTATGGTTTGTACTAGTTAGTGTTAATAAATTATATTGTTTTATAACATATCTGAGGTCTGCGTTTCCCTGCTTCAGTCACACACCCTATGGTCATACCTGGGAGCCCTGACATTACACCAAGGCCAATCCTGACCAGAAGCTGGCTGCACAGGGAAGCCATCTTGGCTTGTTGATGGGAAGGATATATCTTGATGAGGTTGAGTATTTTTATATCTGCTAGTGTTTGATGACAGGGAGTATGCTTATCAAACTCTGAAGGAGTATACCCGGGATGAATAGCTAGAATGTATACGGCTCGCTCATGTTCTAGTAGATCAGGGCACAGAGTTCTCTGAGGTGCAGCCTTTGATTGAGGTTTGTGCAGAGTTGGTTTCATCTGGTTCCCCCGAAATGCAGGGATGAATTTATTGCCACCATTTAGTGCAGACCAGGTAGAGTCCCTGGTGTGGTTTTTTTATTAGAGGATGATGTGGTTTTTACTTTCTGGAGCGTTATTCCACATGTTTTCACCACAGACACTGAGAGATTGTATAAACGCGGCAGTGCATTCATTGACCAGACAGGCTTTGTGTACAGCTCAGCTTTGTTCAACCCATACTGCAGACATGGACAGATTTGTTTTGCACCACAGCCTCAGTCAGCTTACAAAAACCCAGTCCTGCTTCTAACTCTACTCCTGTATTCCCAACAGCTCCTCCAGTTACAGCCCATATACTTGGCTATCTACCGCATGTCAGTACCCTGTTCCCACTCGCTGCACCTATCCTGCCTTTAACCCTGTAAAAAAAGCCCCTCTGTAGCAACTGCTTCCCTCTCCTGTTCCATCCTCCAGTTCTTCTCTGTCTCCAGCAGCACCATTCGTTTGCAGACCTGCGTTTACTTGCAGTGCTCCAGTAGTTAAAACCAGAAAAAAGCGAAAATTCCTTTCCAACCAATACCATCCTGCCAGTATCCACACCGGTGAGCCTGCCTTCCGTGGTTCAGACTGATGCCTCTACTCGGCCTGAAGCATCTCTACTCGGCCATGAAGCCTCTACTCGGCACTGAAGCCTCTACTCGGCCTAATGCCTCTACCCAGCATGATGAACTTATCCAGCCTGACGATCCTATTAGGCCAGTTGACTCGATGCCCGCTGTCGGATCCAGATGATCCGGTACCTGACTGTCGTACCTGGTGTCAGGGTGCCCGCAGATCGTGCCAATTGGTGACCTACTCAGAGCCCGCTGTCGAGCCCAGACAAGCCGTAACCTGGTGACTCGTTGTGCCCACTGCCTTGCCAGATGACGCGGTGCCCGCTGGCAAGCCAAATGACCTGATGCCTGGTGACCCCGATATGATGCCCCGCTAGTTGAGCCCCACTGCCTTCCGCTGTCGAGCCAAATTTGATATGACCCGAGTGCCCGCTGTCGAGCCAGACAATCCGTGTACCTGATGACCCAGGTGCCCAACTGTCGTTGCCTATGACTCGGAGACCACTGCCTTGCCAGATGACGCGGTGCCCGCTGTCGAGCCAAAATGACCTGATGGCCTGTGACCCGATGCCCGCTGTCCAGTCAGACGATCCAATGTCTGAACCCAGTGCCCGTGTCCATACCAGTTGACTCGGAGCCCACTGCCTTGCCAGATGACGCGGTGCCCGCGGTCGAGCCAAATGACCTGATGCCTGGTGACCCGATGCCCGCTGTCCAGCCAGACACGATTCAATGTCATGTGTGCCCCGGGTGCCCGCGGTCAATGCCAGTGACTCGGAGCCAGGCCCACTGCCTTGCCATATATGACGCGGTGCTCGCTGTCGAGCCAAATGACTTGATGCCTGGTGACCCGATGCCCGCTGTCCCAGTCAGACGATCCAATGTCTGAACCCAGTGCCCGCGGTCATACCAGTTGACTCGAGAGCCCACTGCCTATTATGACGCAGTGCCCGCGGTCGAGCCAAATGACCTGATATGCCTGGTGACCCGATGCCCGCTGTCCAGCCAGACGATTCAATGTCTGCCCCGGTGCCCGCGGTCATGCCAGTTGAACTCGGAGCCCACTTCTGCCTTAGCCAGATGACGCGGTGCTCGGCTGTCCGCCGAGCCAAATGACCTTGATGCTGGTGACGCCATGCCCGCTATATCCCGGTCCAGACGATCCAATGTCTGACCCAGTGCCCGCGCCTGTCATAACCAGTTTGACGCTCCCACTCGGAGTCCCCCACTGCCTTGCCAGATGACCGGGTGCCCGTTGTATAGAGTCCAAATGACCTGATGCCTGGTGACCCGATGCCCGCTGTCCAGGGCCAGACCATCCAATGTCTGACCCAGTGCCTGCGGTCCATAGCACCAGTTGTGACTCGGAGCCCACTGTACCGTGAGGCCCGAGACCTGGTGTTCTCGGTGCCCGCCCGCCGCTCCGCCTGGGGCCCGAGACCTGCTTACCCCCTTCCGCTTGGGGGTCCAGCGCCCGCCGCTCCGCCTGGGGATCCCGGCGCCCACCGCCCCGCCTGGGGGCCCGAGACCTGTCGCTCCGCCTGAGGGCCCCGAGACCTGTCGCTCCGCCTGGGGGTCCAGGCCCGCCTCCGCTCCGCCTGAGGGCCCCGAGACCTGTCGCTCCACCTGGGGGTCCGGCGCCCCGCCGCTCCGCCTGAGGGCCCGAGACCTGTCGCTCCTCCTGGGGGTCCGGCGCCCGCCGCTCCGACTGAGGGCCCGAGACCTGTCGCTCCTCCTGGGGGTCCGGCGCCCGCCCCGCTCCGCCTGAGGGCCCGAGACCTGTCGCTCCGCCTGGGGGTCCGGCGCCCGCCGCTCCGCCTGAGGGCCCCGAGACCTGTCGCTCCACCTGGGGGTCCCGGCGCCCGCCGCTCCGTCCTGAGGGCCCGAGACCTGTCGCTCCATATGGGGGTCCTGGCGCCCGCCGCTCCGCCTGAGGGCCCGAGACCTGTCGCTTTCCGCCTGGGGGTCCGGCGCCTGTCGCTCCGCCTGAGGGCCCGAGACCTGTCGCTCCGCATACTGGGGGTCCGCGCCCGCCCGCTCCGCCTGAGGGCCCGAGACCTGTCCGCTCCTCCTGGGGGTCCGGCGCCCGCCGCTCCGCCTGAGGGCCCGAGAACCTGTCGCTCCGCCTGGGGGTCCGGCGCCTGCCGCTCCGCCTGAGGGCCCGAGACCTGTCGCCTCCACCTGGGGGTCCGGCGCCCGCCGCTCCGCCTGAGGGACCCGAGACCTGTCGTCGCTCCATCTGGAGGTCCGGGCGCCCGCCGCTCCGCCTGGGGGCACGATGCCTGTCGCCCCGCCTGGGGTCACGATGCCCGTCGCCCCCGCCTGGAGGGCACGATGCCCGTCGCACCCGCCTGGGGGCACGATGCCCGTCGCCCGCGCCTGGGGGCACGATGCCCGTCGCCCCGCCTGGGGGCCCCGATGCCCGTCGCGCCCCCGCCTGGGGGCCCCGATGCCCGTCGCCCCGCCTGGGGGCCCGATGCCCGTCGCCCCGCTTGGGGGCACGATGCCCGTCGCCCCCGCCTGGGGGCCCATGCCCGTCGCCCCGCCTGGGGGCCCGGTGCCTGTCGCCCCGCCCGGGGGCCCGGTGCCTGTCGCCCCGCCCGGGGGCCCGGTGCCTGTCGCCCCTGCCCGGGGGCCCGGTGCCTGCCGCCCCGCCCGGGGGCCCCGGTGCCTGCCCGCCCCGCCCAGGGGGCCCGGTGCCATGCTGCTTCGCCTGGTAATCCGATGTGCCTCTGCCCGGTAGTCCTGCCCGATGTGCCTCTGCCCGGAGTCCTGCCCGATGGGTGCCTCTGCCCGGAAGCCTGCCCGATGTTGGCCTCTGCCCGGAAGTCCTGTAACCCGATGTGCCTCTGCCCGGAGTTCCTGCCCGATGTGCCTCTCCCGGAGTCCTGCCCGATGTGCCTCTGCCCGGAGTCCTGCCCGATGTGCCTCTGCCCGGATCCTGGATGTCCTGCTGCCTGATGTGCCCTCTGCCTCGATGTGCCGGCCCCGGGTTGTGCCTCTGTTTGTACTGTTAGTGTTTAATAAATTATATTGTTTATAACATATCTGAGGTCTGCGTTTCCCTGCTTCAGTCACACACCTCTGGTCATACCTGGGAGCCCTGACACCATCCTCCTTTCCTCCAGCTGGAAGACAAAATGCCCATGAAGGCTCCTGGGATGTATGACATCATTTGCCTAGGCCAGAAATCAGGAAGCAAATTAAAAAAAAAATTAATACAAATAAATATAATATACCTTCCTATTTATTTATTTACTAATGTTAGCAGCATAAGGATTAAAAATAATTACTGTTCATTGAAAGAGCTAATGCTCATAATGTTCAATAATCATTAATACATCATTAAATCTACTTTTTTTTTTTAAATCCAAGCAGTGGAAGTGCCATGATTTGAACTTAGTATCAGCATCTTGCAACCCCCACAGCAGAGCTCAGACTGGGAAGGGAGAAGCAGCATAAAAAGCCAATCAGTTGTATTTCAGAGCTCACGTGCTACCAAGAGACATGCTGATAGGAGACCACAGTGTATTCCCGCTAAGGGAAAAATGGTGCCCGTAGCGAAAAAAGAAAAAAGGAAAAATAGCGGAGGGTAGACATTCACATGAAGACGGGTGGGAAAGACAGTAAAGGGTTAAGTAAAGGTGGGAAGGTTGTAAAATGTGTAGGTTACCTGATTGATGATGAATAGTGTGGGGTGGGGTCTTCAGCACTTTTGGAGAGTGGTGGTGTGGGGGGTCGGACGATCCAGTGTAGGAGTGGCAGTGGAAGAGGAAACTTCCCTCCCACCCTCCCTTGGAGTTGTTTGGGTCTTTCAGTGCCCGGTTTGTTCTGGCTTTGGGGGTTGTTGGTCTTTGGAGGTGGCAAATAATTTTAAGCTAAAGCCTAAAACGTTTAAAATGGTTAGTGGTTGGGACCCATCGGTGGAATGGTGTGCCCGGGTGCATTCCGGTTAACCGAGGTTTAACTGGAAGGTGGAGGCTCTGCAGTGCGGACGGTGTGTTTTGTCTCCGAGCCTGTGCGTTGCGGCTGGAGGCTTAGTATTAATATTATGGTTAAGGTTCCTCAGGGGATATTGGTATTGTTTGGTGCCTTCAAAGACCAACTACTTCTGTATATTTCTGGTTTAAGGAATGTTTTTTTGTGTTATTGAAGTTGAATTGTTAATAAAAGGCCATGATGTACCAATAAATAAATAATTTGCGCTAGTAAATGTGTATAAATATATAAATATATATAAAGAAATCATCAAATCATAAGTCCAGAAAAAAAATATATATATGCCAATACCACAAAAAAATAAAAAAACTTTTTAAGTGCAAAAAACTTTTGTGCAAAAAAAGTGTCTAAATATGAAAAAATTTCACCAAAAAACCTTGATAATATAATGGCAGATCATCCATAAATATATCTTCAGAAACGGAAACTCTGCAACACACCGATCCTCATCGATCGAAATAACAGGATGAAAAACTTTGTAGTTAATCGAAAATCCACTTCTCCAATAGATAAAGGACCACCTTCAAACGTATCCATGGGGGGAAATGCCAAGCACTCGAGAGAAACAGAAAGACTTCATGGTGCAATATTATAAAAACCAATTCCTTTATTAGGTACTCATTGCACTTACTCAAGAGGTGTCCCAGCCGACACCAGCATCAACAGCATAACAGCAATCACATAAACGAGCCTGGCTACTCAGCACATGAGGACGTCCGCTCCGTGAGGACGTCGATGACGAAACGCGTAGGGCGGAGCTTGATTGATGTGACGTCATTACGTTTTTGGCTGCCAGCTACTGCGCATGTGCTGAGTAGCCAGGCTCGTTTATGTGATTGCTGTTATGCTGTTGATGCTGGTGTAGGCTGGGACACCTCTTGAGTAAGTGCAATGAGTACCTAATAAAGGAATTGGTTTTTATAATATGAAGTCTTTCTTTTATTTTTTTGTGGTATTGGCATATATATATTTTTTTTTTTCTGGACTTATGATTTGATGATTTCTTTATATATATTTATATATTTATACACATTTACTAGCGCAAATTATTTATTTATTGGTACACTTTATATATGGTGATTTTTTGCAGCTGGTACACTATTAGTAAGTTATATAATTTTGACCATAGGCGCTATTATTAATTTTTCTTAAAAGGCCATGATGGCCTCCTTTATTGGTATATTGAGGTTGAGTAGGGGATGGTTCAGTAGCTATGGTCTTAACTAGCACATCTCTTCTACGCTAGTCATGCAGAATCCCACTGCATTCCCTTTAGTGGGTCAATCCATTTCCCATTACAGCTCCTGCCCAGGATTGCTTTGTGCTGGTGGGATATCCTCCAGTCACCATCTGGTTTGTTGGGTGATCCTTCAACTATATATTTTACAGAAGTTATGTGATTTGTATGGAATTGGTGGAAAGTTTTGTGACTTTGTTGTTTTTTTCTTTATTTATAACATCCCCTGGTCTCTCCTCAGATACCATTCAAGATACCATACTTACAAGCTGTCAGAGCCTAGGATTGAACCTGGGCCTTCTGCAGTGAGAGGCAATGTTTCTTCTCACTGAGCCACCTGGAATGCTGGACAGTGCCCTTGACAATTCTTTGGATGATCCTGCCTTGGCCCTGTTTGTCTTGAACCTTGAACTCCTTGCTCCTCCCATGAA